TTTCTTTGTTTATGTAAAATTTTATAATATAGATTTTTTTATTCATTTAGATGAGTCTCCCATAAAGCCTTCCAATTAATTCAAATGAGTAGAGTTTTGCCCCAGATTGGCAGCAAGATGCAAGAAAATGCACAGTGAAATTTAAGAGGTTAATAACCAGGAAAAAGTGTAATCGTACTTGGGCAAACCACACGGGTGGAGGGGGGCCGCCTAACATGCTGAAATGTGCACAACAGGTTCCTTCTCTCGACTCCGTTGCCCGTGGAGGGAAGAGGCCCCCGACAAAGGGCCTGGGCTGGCAGCGGGGAGAAGGCAAGATGGGACGATGGAGACAGAGCCGGATGGGTCTCCCGAGAAGATGCTCATTTGGGACCAGATGGCTAGGAGGAGGAGCAATCATGACCAGGAGCAGAGGGCCAGGGGCGGGGCGCAGGGAACAGCCCTTCCTGCTCTGGGGCCTGTGAATGCCGAACACGACGCCTGCTCTAGAAGGTGGAGGCAGAACGCTGGCCAGGCAGAACCAGTTCTAAAGAAAAAGGATGAAAGGGAACTCCAGGAAAAGAGTGATTGGATGCCAAGTCTGTGCCAAGCAGAATGTCTAACAGGACGCAGACACTAGAGGCGACCTAATCAGCATGCACACGTCATCCCCAGAGCCCACACCTGCACGGAAGCCCACGCATACACAAGTGCTGATGGCCCTGGCCTGACAGCAGTGGGTGGGGGGAAAGAGGAGGGATCTCTGGGGCAGCCGCCCCCAAAAGTAGAGTCAGAGGGCAAACAGAACCCCAGATCCCCCTGGGGTCACTGTCTGTCACCATTCCCAGCTGCTAATAAGGCCCAGTCTCCCCCATTTGCAGAAGTTTGTTTCAGCAGCCCAGTCACCACCAGGCACCCGGGGTAGAATGCCATAAACACCAGTCCCAGAGGGCAGCGCTTCAGTACCCAGCCCTGGTGACACTGTGGGCTCACACTCAGCCAGCTCTCTAACAAAACAAGAATTAAGAGTAATCTCAGGTCGCTGGGGCCTTGAAAAAGGCCTTTTATCTTCCACTGAGGATGAAAGTGAAGGATGGACAGGGCCAGCCAGTATCATCCCACTGAGTTTTAAACGCAGTAGGGTGAAAGCGGCCGCCTTCATCTTAAATCGGCAGCCTCCTTCCTGGGTGTTGGTGGGCAGGGAAGGGGCGGGGTCTGTCTGCTGTGCAGGAAAAACCAAGGAAGAGTTTTTCTGGAAGGCTCTCTTCCAGCTGCTAGAGTTTCGGTGCACTGAGGCGTGCTCACCAGGTGCTTCTGCAAACTCCCCTCCTGCAGAGATGTGTGATGAGAATCACTTTCCCCCTGGGTGGTCCATGTGTGGGGGACTCTGTGACCTCTGGCTGCTGAGCAGGATGCAGGCCAAGGTGACTCAAGTGTGCCCTCCCCCAGGAAGGTGGGTGTCCTTGCTTCTCATGGCCCCAGGGGTTGGCTTCCCAAGAAATGCTGTCTTGAGGGAGGGGGAACAGGCCAGGATGCGAGGTCCCAGGCCCAGACTGAGCTACACAGTGGCAGTCCCCAGCTCGGCGAAAAATCGGAGCAACCAAGCGGGATGACAGTGTTTACTGAAAGGGAGATGAATTCTGTCTGTCTCCATCCAAGTCATTTTGCACCAGGCCGGTGAGTTCGGAAACAGCTGGCAGTCCTAGAATCAAAGAGCCCCATGGCGCAGGAAGCTTGGGGGGCAGCCTCTCTGACCCCTCCCTTTGTAGATGAGGGTGGCAGAGTCCAAGCAGGGTAAGTGACTCACCAACAGTCATGCAGGGCTCTCGGGGCCTTCTCTGTGTGCCCAGGACCCTTCACCCCTCCCCTGCCCAGGAGTGACAGCTCTGCCTGCTGTGGGCCACACGTCCTCTGCCAGCACACGTGGGATCCTTTGTCAAATTAGGGAAGAAGGCCCCTAGGCAGGGGTGAGGCCCAGCAGCTGTGCGGATGGGTGAGTTGAATGTGCCTGGATTTCAGCCCCTTTGCCCTGTGGATCTGTGACCCCGGGCAGAGCACGACCTCACAGTGGTGTTCACAGCCACCACGTCCCAGCCCACACCTGGGTGCGTGGCCCACAGGCTCCCTGGCCTCTCTCCTTGCTCCCCTGGTTCCTCCCATATGTCTCTTTCTCCCGTTCACCTCCCCTTGTATGATGGCTGGGCCTGCCCTCTCTCTTCCTCCAACCTGAGGCTGACGTCAGCCCTGCCACCGTCAGTCACTCTGTGGTCCACCCGCCTGGGATCGAGAGCTTGGCCTCAGAGGTCGTCTAGAGCAGGGTGTAGCAAACGACAGCCCATGAGCCAAATCTGGCCTAAGCCTGTTTCTTTAAACAAAGTTTTATTAAACACAGCCACGCCCAGTCTTTGACATATTGCCTACAACCGCTTTCATGCAGAGTTGGTCCTTGCAAGCGAGACAGCGTGGCCCACAAGCCTATATTCACCATCCGACACTTTATAGAGAAAGTCAGCCCATCCCTGACCTAGAGCGACCTTTCTGAGGCTCAGAGAAGTTCGGTGACTTAGCTGATGGATGGCAAAGCCAGAGTGTGAACATGGGTCCCCTGACACTCTCCAGTGCACCCCTGACTCCTCAAGGAAAGGAAGTAACTGTAAAATGTCATCAGACTCTCACCTCATTGCCAGCCCTTTTCCTGTATGGGAAAGCATGGGGGTGGCTCAGAACTCACTCCCAGAATTGGCTCTGGGAGCCTGGGGCTCCCTCTCCGCAGGGAGCTCCTGAGAGCCGGAGGTAGTGAAACCCCCTCTGCTCTTGCCTCGGGCCTGACCGGGGACCCCACGCCAGCTTCCTCCCGTAGGTGCCGACATCCCCCCAGCTCAGCTCCCACGTCTAATCGATGCTTCCTGGTCTCGGTCTTGAGCTGGTGCACTTGCCCAGGCGGACGTCTCCTGCCTTCGTGCGTGGAGAGGGGCGGCCAGTCACAGGACTGCAGAGAGCGTGACATTTGGATGTTCTGTAGCCAGTGTCCCCAGTGACTCGCAGATCAATCAACTCTGATTTACAAATACGAGGAAGTTTCCTTTTTCCCCTCTTCTCTCTTCCTGCCCCTCAGCTGCACTTGGCAATGCTTCCAAGAGCACAGCCCGGGGGCCTGAGCACAGTCCCGTTCCCTTGTCTGCCACGGGTAATCCACGAAAGCTTCTTAGGACACAGAGAGGAGGAGGGAGAGGGAAGCTCCAAGGTCGGAAGGTGGTACAGCTCCTCCTGCTGCCAGGAGGAGGGAGGCCGGGACAGTGTGCCCACTGGGCGGAAGGGATGGCAGAGTATCACACGCGCCAGGCACTTGGCAGTGCATCCCACTGAATCCCGACACCGTTCCTGAGAGGCCGGGACCACCATCTCCATTTTACGGATGAGAAAACAGAAGCTCAGACTGACGTGGTCACCCTGTTGGTCACATCAGATCCAAACTCAAACCCAGGTCTGCCTGATCCTCAAATGTCTGCTCTTTCCTCTTAACTACGGTGCCCCCGGGCAAGGGGAGTCCAGGTTCAGGTCACAGGATCCCAGCTGCCCAGTGTCCTTCCTGGAGAGGCAGCTTCCAGCCAAAGCCATTCCCAGAAAGGTGGTCACCAGTCCCAGCAAGGTCAGGATGGCAAACCCTGGAATGCACTGTCCACCCCCATCCTCCCCCGGGCCACCAGGAAGGCCTCGGCAGGGCCCATGCCCTGGGGCAGCACCTCCCTTCCATCTCTCTCCTCTCTCTGAGTCTACACCGTACTCCACTGAATGAAGTTGTTTACAGAACTCCCCCGGCCGTATCCCAAGAGTCTCCCTTGTGAAGGCCACAAAGGTACACACAGCCCTGCATCCGTGGCTGGCCTGTTACTGTTGACACTCACAAGTGCCGGAGAGCGCAGCAATGGAGCCCAGTCTTTGCCGTTTGCAAGGAACATGGATTCCCAAGTGGGTGCCACAACCACTTCCACCCACAGTAAGGCTGGCGGTGGCTGGGCAGAGAGCAGACCAGCCCAGTGTCCTCCCTCCATGCAGAGGACAGAAAGAAACACACCACGGGGATCACCACCAGGAGCAGATGTTACCAACACATGTGCAACCAGAGATAAGAGCCATGTGAGGTGACCCAGGACTGAGAGACTGGAAAACGATATCCCATCATCTGATGGGGACAGGATGGGATCACATGCAGCCCTGAAGGCCAGGCTGACAGTGGGAACGTCCTCTCACCTGCCCGTCTTCCCTCCCGCCTCCTGCCGTGGGCACACACTTAGACGTGCACACACACACGCACGCACACGCACTCACACACACACACACATACATACTTAGCAGCAGGCATCCTCCCAGTCCTCTCCCGGGACAGTCTCTCTGGGGGAAAATGGCAGGCCCAGTGACCAGGTGGGCTCCGGGTGGCACACAGACAAGGAAGGAAGGAGGGGATAGAGGGAGACGTCTTTTGGACCCTGACCCCAGACACTCACAGTCGTTCTCCTTCTCTGGTGGGACCCCAGAGGCCAGGTCCCTGCCTTCACCATCACATACCTCAAGTAAGCCGGGAGTCCCCGGGAGACACAGCTCTCCGCTCTATGTAAGGCTAACAGAGCCACCTACCAGGGTCACCCAGACAGCCTGAAAACAAAACATACCCAAGGTGTGATATCAAATTGTTTCTCCTTCCACTGTCCCCGCGGCTACTGCACTGTCTGCAGTCTGGGAGCCGCAGGCACCCGCGCTGGTGAGGAAGGTGACTGGGGAGGGAACAGAAGGCCCAGCAGGCCCCACACAGCCGGGACCCTCCCACCCTGGAGCATCAAACCAGCTCCCAACGGGGGTCCCTCCACCCACAGCGTGGACGCATGGGTGACACACGTGGGTGCACACACACACACACAGACACGTCCTCGGGGGTCCCCCGGGAGCCCCAGCCAGCAGGTGGCACTGAACCAAGAAGGAAGGGGACATGGGGCCGAAGGAAGGGGGAGCGAGGCAGAGGCAGCTGCTTCCTAGTACGTTTATTGGAGCCTTGCTTAAGGGCGACGCGACAGGAACCCTGGCCGGAGCCCAGTCGGCCCAACTGGAGCCGGACTCCGGGGGTCGACTTCCTTTTGTTCCCATTATAGACAACATTATTAAAAAAAATAAACTTTACAATAATACATTTTCGCTCATCTGTTGGGGTATAATTTCCATAGTTCTGTTTCTTAAAAAAAGGAAAGAAAGGGGAAACCACACAATATATGTATATATGTCGGGAAAGGAGCCTTGGTATGTACGTACAGTGGACGTATGTCTCGGAAATGAGGAAAGAGAACGTGGAAGGGAAGAGGGACAGAGGAGAGAAGGACAGAGCTTGAGACCAGAGTGCTACACGTGCGTGTCACACCGTGGTCCCTCTAGCCCCCCGCCCCAAGGGAGACCCGCCAAACAGACCCACGAGAAACAAAAAAAACCAACAAAGTACCATTTCTCTTTGACCTCAAAATTCCTGCTACCAAGGAAGAAGTTGGTGCCCAAGTTTTGCTCCTTCCCCACAAGGGGGTCTCCCAGGCGAGCTGGGCTCCCCAAGCCCTCTCGGAGCTGGCCCTAGTTCCCCTGCAGTCAGGGGAGCCCAGCACGGCGCCACCCCCTTCACGGGCATCCATGGCGTCCCCACACCAGATGCAGACCCACCAGGCCTGCCCCAGGGCAGAGAGCAAGGGCGGGACCATCTCCAGCCTTGAAGCCAAGAGGAGGGGCAGAACGTGCCCGGCTGGCCCCCCGGGGCCAGCCCTGCCGCCTCGCTGACAGATGCCTTCTGCCAGCGGCAGGTCCCCAGAGTGGGCGGCTTGAGAAAGCAGCTGCGACGTTCTGCCCCAGCCAGCCCCGGGTACAGCCACGAGTCCCTCCGGCTGCAGGGCTGTCGTCTTGGGCTCTGCTTCAGAAGGGTCCGAGAGGAAAACACCAGGAGAGAAAGAAGGGCATTCCCAGAGCCTCGTGCCCCACTCGGCGCCGGGTGTCCCTTGCCAGGGGGCCCCTGGGCTGGCTCTCAGGCTGCCCACCTGCTTGTCTGTTTGGTTTAGAAAAACTTCTCCAGAGAAGAAACCTGGGAGGAGACAGGTTCGGCAACAAGGTGGGAAAAAAACTTATTTTTTGCAAGGTGTGTGTGTGTGTCTGTGTGTGTTTCCATTTTGTCAGGCGGGTGTTCTCGTCTGTGTAGCTTTCGGAAATCTCCCGACACGTCCCCGGACCTACAAGGCCAGTATGACCATCAGGAGGGAGATGGCAGTGAAGGCAGCCGACGGTCTGGCTCTGCTGGGGCCTGAGTTAGGTCTGATCACCTTGTTGCTCCCTGGGATGATGTTCGTCGTGAGCTGAGTCCACAGCACAAAGGGAGACAGAAACAAAGAGAGTGACAAGAAAATAAATAAACCAATCGGTAGGCCCGAGACCAAGCAAAGAAAAGGACTCAAGAACTGGCCCCTCAAGTCCCTGCCCTCTCTGTCCACCCAGAGGACAGAGCCAGGCTTCCATACAGCTGGGCAGGAACGAAAGGCCATGAAAGTTCTGTCCCTTGTGGCCGCAAGCCCATGGGTTTGGAGAGGCAGGGCAGCGTCCCCAGATGGCAAGATGCTCTTCCCAGCCCTGGGGCTGAGGACCTGCGTCCCAGTGAGGAGGAGGAGGGTATAAAGATCTCAAGGAGAAGCAGCTCCCAGGGTCCACAAGGACCTGCTTCTGGAGAGGAAAGGGAGACTCTCTTCCTGAATGTGTTCAAATCCCTCTTCCTCCACGAAGCCCCCCCAGAATGTCCCTGTCTGAGCTTCTCTCTTCTCCTGCAGAATCTTATACTGCTTTCCTTCTCATCTAAGTTATTATCTTGGGTCCGTAGGTCATATATACATATGAAGTCCTATGCTTCAAGGAAGGGACTGTGTCTTTTTCTGTCTCTGTACCTCCTAAGCACCACAGAGCCAGCACTGAGCAGACGCTCAAAACATTGTCGTAAGGAGGAAGGAAGGTGTGGGAGGGCCTCTGCTCAGGCAGCCATTTTTCTCTCCCCCAGGCAGCCAGCCATGGGCCCTGGGTGCAGCCTTTGCACTCCCCCAGCCCCACCCAGCACAGTGAGTGTCCACCCAGGTCCACACGGGCCCAGCCCATGCAATGGGATGTGGGGGCTCTGAGACCGAGGCTCCCCTGGGAAACAGCCCCTCCGGCCCAGTCTCCGTGCCCACCCCTGCTCCTCTGCCCCTCACTCACCTCCGTGAAGCACATGCTTAACTCTTTGGAGCTGTTGGCCTTCAGCCCCTGCTCCTGCGGGAGAGAAGGCACTAGTCAGGACAGGTCACCAGGCCAGACTTTGTCCAGCGACTCAGATGAGGCCCTGTCCCCCACTATTGGCACCACCAAGCACAGGGCATACCGTGGACATGGCTGGCTTAATCCCACACAGCACAAAAGGCCCCTGCCCCTTTCTGACACCCTCAACAACGGGGTCCTGGCTCTTCTGGGCTCCTGGGGAACAGATTCTAAATTCTGCTCCCCAACTCATGGCCCTAGGTAGCAATCAGCCACTCGCATGTCTGTCTCGTGCTCAGAGCTCCTCAAAGGCAGGGACCACGTCTTCTTTTCCTTGCACTGAGTAGTGTTTGGCTCATAACAGTCATCAATGAATGTCTTACTAGATGCAGGCACGAATGAATGAATGAATGCCACAGATCAGAAATGGCATCCGAGTGCCAGCTCCTGTGAATTTGTCATGGCTGCTGGAGGGCTCTGTCGAAAAGATCATGAGCCCTCATCTGGCCTCGGTGGGAGGAGGGGGGTGATTGATTAGTGATGTCTGCCACTGGTGCCTGTTGGGTGGGTAATGGCAGCTGTGCCAGGCCACTTCCACCCCAAATGGATGTGCAGCACCTGGGAGCCCTGTGGACGGGGAATGAGGAAGGCAGTCTGGCTCGGTGACGATTCCAGGATTCTCTACGCCAGCAGAACCACCTGGATTTGGGACCAGAGGGTGTGCTTGAAGGGCAGTCCTGTTATCATCGTCATAATCGTGACCATGGGAACCAGCTGCGGGAGGCAGTGTTCCTCTCCTGGCTTCCAATGGCTTGTTTCCAAGCCACTTGCAGGGAAGCTCTGGCCACCAGAAGCAACTAGAAAGCCCCAAGAAACTATGCCTAACTCACTGCTCTTGGCCACAGTATCAGTAATCCCTTGGACCTCACAGGCAATCTACCACCCGGGGCATCTGGTCAGCTGAACAAGGACCCAGCTGTCACACAGAGACCCTGGCCAAGAGTACAGTCACTGCCAATCAGTGATGGAAATATGACCATGGTACTGATTAGCACAGCAGGGATGGAACTGGGGACTTGGCCCAGGAAGGTCCTGTTCAAGACCAGTGTCTCCAGGTGCCAAGACAGGCCCTGGCCAACCCCCCAGGTGCTCCCCTCTACAGATGGGTGTGTGGGGGCTGCTCTAAGGCCCTTCCAGACCTGAAAACCTCAGGACTACCCCCCAGGACTGGGTGCCACTCCAGCCAGGGCCATGTGTGGCCACTGCGGGGGGACGCAACATGGCCACCCCCTCAGAGGCTGTGCTCTTCCCTCCCACCTGCCCTCCCTTGCCCATTGGCCACCCCCAACCAAGCAACCGGGGCCCCAACCGGGAAGGCCCGGGGCCCGGCCAAGGCCGGGCCCAACGCCCAACAACCCCCGAGAACCAACAAAAACTCCCGCCCCGGTTCCGGGGGGGGCCAACCAAACCCCGCCCGCCTTGGGGGCCCCGGCCGAACCCAACCCCCAAGGAACCCAACGAAGGCCGAACCCAAAAAAAAACAAAAAGGGAAAACGCCCCGGCCCCAAGCCCCAACAACCCAAACAAAGCAACCCCAACCGGAACCGGTGCAAAAAACGCAAGTAAGCCCAAAAACCGGGGAAAAACAAGCCAACGCCTAAAAGAAAACAAGGCCCCCCCAACCCAAGGCAACCCAACCCGGCAAGGCGCCAACCACCAAGGGCCAAAACCACAACAAAAGGCAACCACCAAGCCGCCCCGAACCGCCTCCCCCCGGGGCCGCAAAAACCAAGTTAACAAATTTGGCCCCAAAAAACCAACCCAAGCCTTCAATTTCCAAAACGGCCTCCAAACCCGCCCAACCCAAACCCGCCCCTCTCCCCTCTCTGGGCCTCCCACCCCCTGGAGGCAAGCTCAAGGTTTGTGGCTTGACAGCATCCCAAAGGATGGCAGGACACAGGGATCCCAACAGCAAACCCTCTGCCACAGAGGCAGGCAGAGGGACTTTGCAGAAAGAGCTGACCCCCATGGGCTGTGGGTCCCACCAGAAGCAGGAAAGAGTCTGCCCCTGCAGGTGGCACTGGGAGAGGGGCACAGACCAGGAGGGAGGACTACAGCAAAGGCTCGCTTCATCCTTCTAGAACTTTCTCCCAGAGATACCCCTGTGCCCAGGAAGTTAGAAGGAAATTATTGTCTTCCTCCTCTTTCCTGCCCACCTCTGTCCCCTCCTCCCTACCCACAAAGCTTGGCCTGGCAGTCCCAGAGCCCTGCTGATCTGGCCCAGGTGCTAGTGGCTGAGTCCAGAGCTGTCCTGCTGATCCGCAGAGCTGGCCACTCCCTCCTGCGCTCCCGGACTCTGTTGCTGGCCCCACCCCCTAATCTCAGTGCCCTTGTTCTTCCCCCCCACCTACTCCCACCCCCAATAACTCACACCTCTCCCTGTCTGCTACCCCCTAACACCACTCCAGTCCCTCCTCTCTCACCCCCCACCGTGGCTAAGCTCTCCCAATGGGTCTTCCGTCTCTCCCCTGCCAGCCACTCTGCACCTGCTGTCAGATTAATCTTGCTAAATCGCAGTTCTGATCAAGACTCACCAACTCCCCGGTTCCGGAGCCGTCGGTGGCCTCTCAACACTCACCACTTCAGCCTGCCACTCACGTCGCACGCCCAACCCCTCCTTCCCACTAAATCCTCTGCATCCCGCCCCAACCCACACCCAAACCCAAGTCCAGGTTTCCTCCAGAGCAGGGGTCTGCAAATGCTTCCTGCAAAGGGCCAGGGAGAAGTATCTTAGGCTTGGCAGACCACGCGGTCTCTGTCACAGACACAACTCCAGTGCAAAGACAATGCATGAATGACAGAGTGTGGTTGTTTTCCAATAAAACTTGATTTATAAAAACAGACCCCACTCAACGCAGCTGGTGCTGTCCTGACCCCGCGCCCCTCCACCTGGGACGCCCTGGCCCACTCCAGCCCCAGTTCCCCGTCGCCACGTATCCCACGCTCCCTGCTCCCCCGGGCCTGGCAGCACGTGTCACCTCATCTGTGAGTCCTTGGCTTCCAACCCCTGTCACAGCAGTCCCTGCCCCCTCTGGACCCCATCCCACCCTACCAGCCCCACAGCGGATGGGGCACCAGTCACCTTCCCCATCACAATCATCTGAATGTGTGTCCTGTCTGTCCCACTGGCACGAGGACCAGGCCACCAGCCTGTCAAGCTTGTTAGCTTTGGTGCCTGGGACACGGTGATAAGCAGCTAGAACTTCCGTTGAATAAATGAACGATGCACGAACAGGCCTCGAAGTCCCACGCTCTGACGCCCTCGGGCCTGTGCACTGGGTAAGAGACCCATCCAGAGAGCAGACAGGGACAGAGAGGTGGCCGTTCAAGACTCCCACACCCCAGCCCAGCAGCCCCAGTGGCGACCCAGTCCCACCCCCACCCCAGCAGGGAAAGTCCTTCATGGGAACGCACCTGGAGGAGGAGGCCACAGCAGGTGACCGGGGCCCTAGTTCCCGGCCCTGCTCAGCCACCAACTACGGGGCTGAGGACAAGCTGCTGCCCTCGCCTGGCCTCGGGTCCCTTGGGTTTGGGGAGGAGACCTAGGAGGGTCCTTCCAGTCCTGACATCCAGGCACCATGTGGGGTCCCGAACTGGCAGCCATCTCTGGGGGTCCCTAAGGCTTCCCCAAGGAAAGGTGGAGGACAGGGATAAGTCAAATATCTTGCCTCTGTCCAGGGTGAATCTGGGGTGCACAGGCTCCCCCCGCCTCCCTCCCAGCCAGGCCACAGCTGCCTGTCCCTGCCCTTGCTCAGGGACTCCCTTCTCCCACCGGTGCCCCTAATGCCCCAGAGCCCCACAAGGGCCACCACAGAGCCATTCGAGCAGAGACGGTCCAGGCCAGGGGAGCTGATGGCCGGGGAGGGGTGTGCCCTGGGGGGGCACCCACGCCAGCCCCGCTGGGCCAAGGGCAGGGGCAAGGCCACTCAAGCTGCACTCCCAGTGCCTGCCATGGAACAGCAGGTGCTCATCTAAAAGACAGGAATTAAAACAAAATCAGGGGCCGCCTCCCCTCCCGTTCCTCTGAGAAAGAACCCAGGGAGTGATGGTGACGGGCCCCTTTGGAGAGTCTATTTCTCTTCCTTTCCCTGGCTCTCCTGCCCGGTGTGACTTCATCACTAGGCCCCGAGTGGACACTCGCCAGGGCCAGGCCCACAGGAGCCGCCTGCCAGGAGGCCGCCCCACCCCCAGGAGTCACGACCCCTAACGTTTGTGCCGCCTCCGTCCGTTTACAAAGCACTTTCACACACGCAACTCCCAGACACATCGTCCGTTATCTCCGCTGGAATCCAACCAAGACCAGCGTCATCAGGGGCTGGTGACGAGGGGTCTGCGGTGGGGGCCCAGAGCCAGGGCCTTGTGCTCTCCTGTGCCCATGAGGAACCACATTGAGGGTCTTGGGGAGGGTCGGCAGCCTTCTGCTGAGTCAGCCTGTCTGTCCCCAGGTGAGCCGGCTGAGGGACCTGGGCAGGAAGGGTGCCGTGCAGGAGGTAGGTAGGGCCCAGAGGATGGCGCCAGGGCACAGTCACCTGACAGGTGGCACAGCCCTGACCAGACGAGCTGCCCGCCACTCTAGCATGAAATTGAGCTGGCAGTTTTCTGCAGAGTTGGGCCCTGACCCCCCCAATGCTGGCAGCCACTCAAGCATGCCCAGTGTCATTAGGAGCTGCCCAAGGGTGATAGTGGCACCTCTGCCCAAATGAGGAGGGGCAGCCGATGCTAAGCTCCCCGCTGAGCCCAGCACGAGTGCACTTGCACGTCAGCTGTCACTGAGCAGGAGACCCCGCCGGGGAGGGGAGAGGAGGTGGGAAGAGGGCTTCCCTCCCCAGATGGGCATCAGCACACAGGCCACGGCGCCCACGAGGGACCCAATGCCTCGCTGGCCCAAGTCCCCACACACGTTCTCATCCTCGCACCGTGGATGCTCATGGTTGATCCCATGAGCCCCAGCCCCGTTCAGACTGGCGTCTTCACAGCCTCGCACACAACCAGGTCTCATTCATTCCCTGCACACCTGTGCTCAGGCTGTGCCCAGCAACTGCTCCTCACACACCCCCACCCTGCCTGGCAATTCAAGTCCCAACTCCTGCCTGAAACGCCCCGCGCCCACCAGCCACATCCTTTCTGTGCCCTCCCTCCTCCACTCTCCCTGAGCAGAGTTCTGCACTGCGTTCTCATCTAAATTCTTTGTCCTAGATCCATGTGCGTACACACGTGTGTGCAGGAGTATGTGTGTGGTCTGTCTAAAATCAACCTCTTCAGCACAGAACCTATGCAGCGAATGGTGAGATGGTCTAAGGGTAGCTCAGCAGAGAGACAGGCTGAGCGGGGAGCCCTGTGGTGTGCCCTGACTGTGCCACGTGTGTCCCCTGTCACAGTACCAACTGCAGGCCATGTTGGACACTTATGTAATTGTTCGACCCTCAACAAGACCATAAGGACCACAAAACCCAAGACTGTGTTGGCCTCACTCACCAATGAGTCCCTAGCGTCTCACATGGGACCTGGCACACACTGGGCATGTCACACGTATTGGATGGATGGATGGATGCAAGGATGGAAGGATGGACGGTAGGACGGACAAACACATGAACATGATGGGCGTTGGAGTGTCGGATGCAGGTTTGAAATCTTATTCTACCACTAACCAGCTGTGTGATCTCGGGTATGTCATCTAAGCCCTCTGGCTCAGTTTCCTGTGTGTAAAACCAGAACACAAACACCTCATTGTGTGGGAATTCAGTGAGATAGGCAGAGAGTCTATGGCACACTTCCTGGTAATCAGCAGGGGGTTATTAAATGGTAACTGTCACATTTCTCTTGTACCCCGTGGTATCTGCTATAGCACTATGACGTAACAGATGAGTGACACTTGCAAGATGATGCCTAAATGAATGCACAGGGCAAGCACTGCCCCCCACGAGCCCCTCCCTGCCTCTTGGGTCCCTGACCCAAAAGGAGGCCAGTAAATGCTCCCTCCCTGGCCCCAGCTAAGTCACTTCCCATGCCATTTCTGGCACCATGGTGCTACCCCAGCCCCTCAGCCACGCCCCCTCACCTGGACAGACGTGCAGGTGGTGATGACACTGGTCCCCAAGCTGGTGCTGTCATTGAGGTCATCTGGCAAAGAAGGAGCCTTTTCCACCCGAGGGGACTGGGTGGCCTGGAACGAGGAGCCCTTAGGGGACACGTTCACATCTGTGCCATTGCCAAAGGCCTGGATGGCGTTCCCTGGGGTGGGGGACAGGTAGATGTCAGGACCCGCCTCTCCCTGCCCACTCCCTTCCCCGGGACGGCCTAGCAGCTGGGGAGAGTGTAGCAGAGCCACACTCAGCTGCGCTGCGGCTCCTTTGCAGATACCTCCCAAGGCTCACATCTCCGGAAGAAAACGGCACCGGGGGGTTGAAAAAGACAGAGAAACCAGAATAGAAAGAAATGCACATGCTCAGGAATGCAGAGGAGGGAGAGAAGGAAGCGGGAGGCGAGGAGAGCCGCGAGGGCACAGGGCATCTCCTCTGCGCGGGAGCTGCAGGCCGCGCCTGTGGGAGCTTCCCGGCCCCAGCTCCCTAGGCAGGGACTCTTCTGGCTCCTTTGCCACCAGCGCTGGCATTCCAAGGGCCCCAGACTCAGCCCTCTGCCCTCTGCCCTCTCCACACCATACACTTTCCTTGGGTGTCCTCCCCTTCTCCCACACCATCTAGAGAAGAGCCTGGAAAATCTCTACTTCCACGTCCCATATGCACCTCAAACTCACCATGCCTAAGCCTGACTCGTCATCTCTTCCAACCATTGCCAACACTCCCTTTCCCCTATATTGCCAGCCTTGGAGGTGACGTCTCTATCTGCCCAAGTCCCCCAGGTTCCCCAAGTCAGAATCCTGGGGGTCACCCATGCTGCCTCCCTAAACACCCACTGGCAGTCAACTGGGCCCACCTCCTAAAGACCCCTCCGCCCATCTCTCTTCACTGTCCCCCTCCCTGGCTCTGGTTCACATCACCGTCCTCCCCCACGAATGGCTACTACGGCCTTCTGATGCAACTCTCTGTGTAGGGTCACCTGTCAGAACCACATCCCTGACCCCCCTCCCCACCTCCACACCACAGGCAGATCCGATTTCTGGAAAACCGACCTGATCTCAACACCATCTACTGACATCCCGTCAACAACCTGCACTGTCACCATCACCACCTGCAGGGCAGTAAGGTCCAAACGCCTGCAGGTGTGCAAGACCCTTCGCTAGGAGGATGCTTTCTACCTACCTGGAGAACTCTGCCACTCTGGTCACCTTCAATGCTATGAAGCAACGCTATGCCATGGTCTTCCGTGGTACCCTGGACCTCTGCCCAGGGCAGACTGGCAGGTGCTCCCTGACCAATGCCCAGACACCCACCAACGGGTCCGTCCTCTGAGAAGCCTTCAGGGCCTTCCCCCTCCTGGCCATCTTGGGCATCCCCACCCTGACTGCTCAAGGATCCTGAGCAGACCCCCACCCTAGGATCAGTCACCCTACCCTGTGATCACGGCGACCCTCCGTCCACCCCATCAGACTGCATGCTCCTTGATGACTTGCATTTCTGAACCCCGCGTGCCGTACAGAAAGGATAGAAAGAAGGATGGATGGACAGATGGAAGGAAGGAAGGAAAGAAAGAAGGAAGGAAGGAAAGAAAGAAGGAAGGAAGGGAGGAAGGAGGGAAGAGAGCTTCAGGTGGGCACGGTTGGCAATGGCGTCAGGCTGGAAAGGTCAAAGTCAGCCTGAGCGTGGCGGCAGCTTCTCTCTCTCTGTCTCTCTCTCTCTCTGTCTCTCTCTCTCTCTCTCTCTCCTCCAGATTAGGAGTTTGATGACTTGAAAGGAAAGTCGCTGATTCCAAGGGGAAATGAACTCATTCATAAGGAAAGTGACAAGTGCCGGTAACCCTCAGGACAGGGCTCCGTCTCCAAAGGAGGCTGGCTGGAGCTGGCCTGCCCACAGTGGTGGTGTCCACCTCCAAGAGGTCAAAACCCAGGGTCCCCGTAGGCAACCCCCGTGGTGAAGCATCATATGTCCCACTGGCCATCCCAACGGACAGAGAAGGGAATGGCTAGGACAGATTTCAGGGACCCTCTGGCTAGGAGGGGTGTGAGGGGCTTCTGGGGACGAGGACATCCCAGCACTTACGGAGGCACGGGTTCTCAGTGAAGTCCCTGAGGAACTTCTCACACTCCTCCTCCATGTTCCCACTGCCCCGACAGCTGCACCAGGGCGACACCACGATGCCAGTGGGGCTGGAGTCCACGTAGTTGGGTGTCATGTCAAACCCTGGGCAGGGAGAAAGGGGAGGGAAAGGAGAGAGGGGAAGTAGGGCCTTCCCCTTGAGCCCCCAGCCGCCAGGCACAGCAGGGCACAGGCTGGGGACCCGCCCTCCCACCTGCCCCCCGAACACACACACACCCCAACTAACTCTGAGCACCATTGTGTCAGCGACCATGGGGACAGAGGGGCCAGAGCCTTAGGGGACATTGGGCTCCTCGCCACCAGGAATGCAGAGAAGATGCTCCCAGAGGGTGGGCCCTGGATTTCTACTTCCCAGCAAGCACGGAATGTTCTAGAATCAGGACGAGTGAGGCTCACATCCTGGGGTTGGATCCCTGTGCCAACATTTGCCAGCTAGGTGAGCCTATGCAAGCTACTCAACTTTCTGTGCCTCAGTTTCCTGATCTGTAAAATGGAGATATCAACACTGCCCTAGTAGGAGCTGCTGGGAGAATTCAGTAAGAAAGTCCAAGTAAACTGCTTAGCACAGTGCCTGGAATGTCAGAACCGTGAATAAATGTTACCTTGTCTCCTGATTTCAAAAGTCCCATAAGGCCGCTGGGGCTCCCCTCCCCCGTGACAAGGACCCAGGCCCTTCTCCAGAGATAAAGGCCAGGCTCTCCTCCTCTTCCTCCTCCCCCTCACTGCAGAGCCACCTCCCCCTGGTCTCCCTCACAGCTCTAGCTGAATCCATTCCAGAGAAGGCCGGGCTCAGGCTGTCCCCGCCTGGCTGGCCCCGAGCTGGACTGCAGCCCCTGTCCCGCTGAGAGGGGCACAGCAAGAAGCCCCCGCAAGCCCAGGTGTGCTGGGGGAGCTTACCGATCATGCCGGCGTACGAGCCCAGACACGCCTGGTAATTGTCCGCAGGGCAGCTGGTGACCGTCTGGTAAGAGGCTCGACAATTGGCGTGGAAGTCCGCCAGCCGGGACCTGGTGGTGGGGAGGAGACCCAATAGAGAAAACAGTTTAGCCTGGCTGCCTCAGCCCCTCTGCCCTGCAGTGGCAGTCTCCTCCCTGCGGCATCCTCAAGCCCTGAGCTCCTTGAGCACAGAGACAAAGAACTAGTGATCTGCTGACAAAAAGGACCCGAACGGGCACAGCAACTGCCTGCTCCAAATGGCTCTTTTAGGCAGGAAACACAGAGAGGACCCGGGGAAGGTTTGCAGAGGACACCTGGAGCCGAGGCAGGAAGGCCACGCCCGGCTCTCTGCTGGGCCACACTCCTGGATGATCTTGCTGCCAACACATCACTCTTCCCACCTGCAAAATGGGTACAGTAACCCCTGCCCCAGCTACCTCCTAGGACTCGTCTGAGGGTCAGAGGAACCAGTGCCCAGGGAGGTAAAGGAGGAGCATCTCTAGGGCGAGAAACACCGCAGGCACGCCAGACAGGACTGCCCTGCACCAAGTCAGAGCAAAGGCTCCCCCGCCCTCCTCTCTCCTCCCCCAGTGCCACCAGGAGGAATCAGCCCTTCCTTCCCCCGGCCACTGTCACATGCCGTCACCCATTCCTCTCTGTCGGCATCGATGATGCTGCATCTCGTGCACAGCTCTGTCCTCCCCACAAGCCATGAGCTGCTTGAAGGCAGACGCTGTCTGACCTGGGTCTGTCCCTAGCCCCCAGAACCAGGCCTAGATGTGGCAGGTCCCGTGGAGCACAGGGCACCCAAGTCTAACATGCATGGCAGTCCCCATCCCTGCTTCCTCCTGCCCTGGCGCCCTACCATCAGCCTGGGTTGGGGGAGGACACTCCCCTCCCCACCATGTCACCTCCTACAGGTGCACATCTTTCACCTCCACGTATCATATCACCTGTGTCTCACGGCGGCTCCAAGCAGCCAGTAATAAGGTCTCATTCACTGGCATTTTCCCAATGATGTGCACACAGTAGGACCTCAATAACCATGCGCTCCACCAGAATCCCATGGGAACTCGACAAGCAGCTGCAGGAAGGACCAGAACCCGGGCTCTGTGGCTCCCTCACCTGCACCCTGTACACCTTCACCCTGCACAGAATAAGGAAGCTCACATAAGCCATCCTCAAGTTCACCCTAAATTCAGCCCCCCTAGCTCTCCAGTGGAACTTTGTCCCATTTGACAAAGGAACAGGTAGAGCAAGAGGACAGAGAGACAGGAGTTGAGGGGACCGAGACAGCCTGAGCGAGCGGAGGAACACAGGTTTTCCACGCCGAGGTGCCAGTGCCCCTGGGAACGCCCCCGCCAAGCACTCCCGAGAGCAAGGGCTGAGTGTGTCCCACCGCCGCACAAATACCAGTCTGCCTGGAGTCCCCGCCGTCCTGGGGGTGGTTCTGAGAGAAGGAGGAAGCCTACTGGAGAGATCCAACCCCAACAAGGGCTCATGTGTCCCAGGCCCCTGCAGCCAATCTGGGGACCAGAGTTCTCAGCTCAGCTCCGCCCCACTCACTAGGTGACCGTGGGCAAGTCCCCGGCTTCTTAGGGACTAAGTTTTCTTATTTATCACATGAATAAAAAGCACTCTTAATTTATAGCTTAAAAGGTCATTTCACAGTTTGGGATGATGCGGAAATTCTGGAGGTGGGTGGCGGTGATGGCTGCACAATAACGTGAATGTACTCAATGCCACTGAAGTGCACACTCGAAAATAGTTAAAATGGCAAATTTTCTGTTCTCTGTATTTTCCCATAATGATGTTTTTTTAAAGGTACATTCACATCCATCTTTTGTCATTCAAGCCTCACAAACACCTTGTGAGATCTGATGAGCAATTGTTATTATTATCCCATTTTACAGACAAGGAAACTGAGCCTCACAGAAGCCAAATAACTTTGCCCAAGGTCACAGAGCTACAGAGCAGAGGAGCCAGGGCTCAAACCCAGAGCTCCAACAACAGGGCGGGTGCCCTTTCTGGTGGCCCCACTGCTCCTGTACGGGAGGGGCGCCTAGAGCCCTCAAAAGTCCTTCCAGGGCCACCATTCTGTGCCCCTGGAAAAGCATTGTCGTCTTCCATAGGAAAAGAGAAGGAAATACGCAGTTGCCTCCGCCCTCGCTCCTGCCCATAAACACGCCTTCTATAAACGCTCCCTCAACACCCAGCCCCAAAATGGGGAGAGCAGCATTTCCAACCAAGCCTTCACCCCCTGCAGAGGAAGACTCGGTGTTAAGTGTCCAAACCCACACCTGTCCCCCTCTGCAGCCCAGCAAATGAGAGAAGGTTCTATGAGAGGGTGGGTCTCTGCCCAAGTCCGAGACCTCCAGGGACCTGGGAGGTGGGCTGGCAAGGGACAGAGACTGTAACAGGTAGATGGGATTTGGAAGCAAACAAAATAAAATCTATTATGGGTTCGGTGTCCCCCCTGCCCCGAAAAAAAAATATGTCAAAGTCCCAATCCCCAGGGCCTGTGGATGTGGCCTTATTTGGAAATAGGGTCTTTGCAGGTGCAATCAAGTGAGGATGAGGTCACAGTGGATTGGGGGGGGTCATAAATCCCATGACTGGTGTTCTTATAAAAAAAAAAAAAGGGAGGGGAAAGACACACACAGGGAGAACACAACGTGACGACAGAGGCAGAGACTGGAGTGACGTATCTACAGGCCAAGGCACACCAAGGATTGCAGCAACAGCCAGAGCTACAAGAAAGGCACGCAACGGATTCCCCCCTCCACCTCCAGAGAGAGTGCGTCCCTGCCAACATCTTGATTTCAGACTTCCGGTCTCCAGAACAGTGAGAGAATAAATCTCTGTTTTGAGTCATCCAGTTTGTGGCACTCTGTTATGGCAGCCCAGGAAACTAGCACAGAACTTTCAAAGACTTTATTGTTTGCTTTGGCCAAATGTCTCCCTCCAGAAGAAGCCACGGAGGTATGGCCAGGCCCCAATACTGAGGTGGGCAGCAGGTGGGTAAGATAAAGCCAGAATCGAGTTCCTGTACGGTGTAGGGTGTGGGGCAAGGAGGTTGCTAGATCATTCATGCATGAGCAAAGCCATTAGTCACCATCTTCTCCCCGCCAAAGGGCATCCAAGCACCACATCTTGGCTGGAATGCAGGAGTCGGTTCCAATGCCAGGCGGTCACCTGTCAGGCCCACCTCCCTCCTCCCCCGCCCCAAGGCTCACCTCCAGTCCCCCATGAAGCCCGACCTAGCCACGTGGATTTCTATTCCTGCATTCCAGCTACACGTACAGCCTGGCCAGGGCAAGAGAACACTCCATCGCACAGGGACTTACCACTTTTGCCCCAACTGGAACACACGTTCCCAGAGTGGCAGACTCCACGGATTTCTTCATGCATACCCTCCCTGGCCCCTTTTGGACAGGGACAAAGTGGTAAATATCCCTTTTCCAAAAATGTATCGAGCCCCTGCCATGGGACTGACAGACTGAAGATGGGAATGGCACATGTGTTGATGCGATGTCAGAAGGGAAACCCCAGCTGATGGGGTCAGGGTGGCACACCCACCAGGCCAGGGTCCAGGGCGTGAGTGAGAAGGCGCTGCCCACCACGGCAGACCCGAGGGCCCGCACTCCACCCGCAGGTGTTGGGAGCCTCCCAGACAGCGCCAATCCCCTTGGGCTGGCCAGCCTGTCTGTGGTGCTCTGTGTCCCTGGTTAACAAACAGGCAGCGTCATGCCTGCCTATGTCCCTCCTGGGGCCACGACAAAGCACCAAAGAGAAAATGCGTGTGCGAGAGTTTGGGAACAGCAGACGCCCCATGTCGACAGGAGGCGTCACCCTTCCCTTCCCTCCCCAGCACGGTGCCTTCCACTGGCACGTGCACTGAGGGAGCAGCTTTCCCTGGTGTCTGGCAGAGAAGGAAAAGCATACCTGTTTACCCTGCCAAGGTGGGTCTGGGTGCCACGCAGGGCAAATGAGCACAGCAGGAAGCGACGGCTCCTCTCTCCCACCTACTGCCGGACCCCAGGTTGCCGGAAACCATGTTCCCCTGATCCCACCGAACTCCATGCAGTGCTGGGGACACAGGAAGAGGGGCACAGCCCTCAAGTCCAGGTGATGCGCACAGTCCACCTTGCCAGGCCCCAGGGTGACCAACAGGGATAGCACCATCTCGTTCCTCCAAGGCTGTGGTCTGTTTCCCTAGCAGCAGCCAATCGGTTGGGCCAGAGCCTCGGAGAGGAAGCTGTTCACAAAGGGAGGGGAGGATCCAGCCTGAGAGCAGCAGACAGCGGAGGAAAGGCAAAGCGAAGGGAAGCAGCTACACCTTCTGTTCCTCCATTTCTCCATTCTCAGCGTCAAGGCAGCCTTTGGCAAGCAAAAGCGACAAATGGGGCCATTTAAGAGGATGCCACGTCCAAGTCCAAGTCTCCAGGAGGCCTTTGATCTTTCATGTTTCCCTCCGCCCCTCAATGCATGATAAAGTCCGCAGTGGCGGGTTCCCTGTGCCAACATCGGGAACCAAGTGGTGTCAATTTCCTTCACGCCCTCGCCACAGCCCAACTCCCACCACAACGGAACCAGCCCTGGTAGGCAGCGTTCTCCAAGGCAAATGTTATCCTTTTCATAATACAGGGCAAGCCAGCTGGTGATCTCTGCACCCTCTCTGGGCCAGATGTCACTCTTCCCTCAAACACCAGGAGGTCGCTGGTCTCTTGGACGCCATTCTTGCTGCCAAGAACAGACTTTTCCTGCATCAGCCCCGCTGCTCTACAGATTTCTACCTTTTAGAGACCTCGTAAGAGAGATGGCATAAAAGAAAGCATATGAGAGAGAGAGAGAGGAACGGACAAATGGACAGGCAGAAAAAGAGCCAGCCAGCAAGAGAACCCAAAGGAAGCCAAGCCAAGTCCATCTCAACTGAAGTCAAGCCAAGACTGCCAAGGAGCCCAGGGCACAGGTGGATCCGTCTGAAAAACACAAACCCTCTTTGGGCTCGTTTCATCAGCAGCTGCAGCCTGTTCAATCACAGGAAAGTGGCAGAAGGAGAGAGAGACAC